GATATGAGTAAAAAATTTTAAGTATTTGTAAGCAATTTCATATTCCAAAAAAGGTTGCATGAAATTTGATAATATGAAAAAGGAAATTCCTACATTACCTTCTAATTTGCATGAGTTTAAGGCAGAATTTCTTTTATATGCATTAAATTGTTTGCTATGCCCTTCAATAGTCGCATATACTAAGAAAAAAAATACATTTGTTACCTATATAATATGGGATCTAGTAAACTTTTTATTTTGGTAAAACATGTTTATGAAACATTGCTATCAAGAATTCATAATTTTTGCAACAAAAGCATCAAAAGGAATGAGAAAACAAAATATTTGTGTGAATGTGTTTTGATTCTTTAGTTTTTTTTTCTTTTAACATTAATTACACATCTAGTTATTTATAGGTTTTATGGTTAATATTATTTTTTAAACTAAAATATCTAAGATTTGTTACATGAATTGTAATTGCATAAATACTTTTTTAGATTATGTATTTATGGCGCAATTCAACAATGAATATATTCTACATTCAAAACTTAGGATTGTTGAATGGAATCAAGCAAATATTGACCTAATTTTTGTCATATTAAAGATTTTAAAAACCAAAAAATGTGAAGGTGATGTAAATCAAGCTTCCTTTAAATACACTTGTTTCTTCTTTTTTTTTTTATACTTTTTGTTTTGAATGATATACTATTTTATGTTTGAATAATTAAGCATATATCATTACACAAACTTCTTAAGCGAAGTTAGTAGGAAAGTTATTTTTTAATGCTCATTTCTCTTTTTAATATAGAGAATGTGAATATAAATTTAATTTTTATTATTACATTAATTAAATAAGGTAATTATACATTTTTTTTTGTAGAAATTATGTGAGCATGTTGATCACATGAAAGAAGAAATAAAAAAAGAGTTAAAATGTGTCATTTAAAAAGAGATAAGTAGATTAAGGTTTTTTTTAGAATGTCAAATAAATGAATTAAAGAAGAAATAAGATCAATACAAGATAATGTTACCATAGAGAAAGACATAGCGAATATTAAGGATGATGTTAATAAAATAAAAAAAATCATTTAACATCTTTTATTTTAAAAATGTTTTATGTTCAACGTAAGATGAAATTCTTGAAACCATTTGATTAAAAGAGTTTCTTTGTCTGAAATTTATTTTTACTACTTGTCATGGTTGCAACTACAATGATCTTTTTACACAATTAAATAGAAACTTTGTATGTGCAACATATGAACATTTCTTCAATGGTTCAAGTGAAAGTCAATCACATAGCATAGGAACACTTAATATAAAATTTATATTCTTGTTATTTTTCATAATAACTAGAACAACAAAAAGAGTATTTATAGGTCTCCTAATGAATGTCTCAAAAAGTTTCTAGTAGAGTTTCAAACATCTCCTATGAAAGAACATTTTTCATCTCCAACGATATCTCCTTTGAGAAAAGATTTTCATCTCCAATCTCTCATGTAAAAAAAGATTTTTCATCTATAAAAGAAGATTTTTTATCTCTAACGATATCTCCTTTGAGAAAAGATTTTCATTTCTAATCTCGCATGTAAAAAAAGATTTTTCATTTCCATTCTCTCTTGTGAAAGAGACATTATATGAAAGTTAAATATAAAGGTAATCTCAATACTCATAAATGTGTATTTCGATTTAATTGTATATAACAATTATTAACTTGTTTTATTAAAATTCAACTTTCTTTTTAAAAAAATTCAACTTTCATACATAGTACTTTTTTAAAATAAATTTTATAAGGCTTTATAATTTGATCCAACTATTGATATTAGTTCCAATAATAGTACAAAAAAAGAACCTAATTAAAGTGGCATCTTCAATGATTAAATTAGTGAATAAGAAATGTTTGCCATCTCAAAATCTTCAAGTTAAAAGGAAGGTAAAAAAAATTGTAAAAAAGTATCATATAAAGTTAAATTGACATATATGCTTACTTATATACTAGAGTTTTAAGTTATAAACAAATTAAAATTAGCTTAATTTTTTAAAATTCAATTATGATACTAGTACATCTTATAAGTTGTGAATTCTATCAGAATTATGATGTTGGGCTAACATCAAATCAAATTTCTTATTCATCTCAGATGAAAAATGCATTCTATTAGTAAACTTATTCTAGCCTAGCATATATATCACGTTATTATAGTAATTCTATTAAAAGAATACATAAAATAAAAAAATAAAATATTTGATTTTAGATCATACAATGTTATTCTTAATGTTAAACATATTAAGAGGTGTATGTTTAAAGCATTTTAATCATAAATTATTGTAATTAAATTATTTTTATTTACTTTAATTTTGTGTTTCCTTTAGTTTTGTTTATTATTATTATTAAAAATGAACAATTACACGAAATGTAAATATCTTATTATAAAAATTCAATCTAGGAATCCAACTATTTCATCACCTTATAAATCATTTGAAGCTGTAAATGATATTTGTATGTATGAAAATGATCATCGAAAGAGTAATAGGTACTACTGAATATTCTTACCTTATTTTTCATTTATGAAAATTTTTTCTAAATTTTTTTTTACACATGCAATGACAATACTATTATGAATTTCACTGATACATATGCATTAAGGTATGATATGATGACATTGGAATTGAAAGTTTGAATTAATTCTGTAATAAGTTGCCATGCTCATCATAACATAACATCTTTTTTTTTTACAATAATTTTGATTAATTAGAACTTAGATATGATTATAGATAATTGATATGTTGACTTATACGTGCATGATAAATGCAAAGAAAGAGTCCAATCCTTGGACAAAATGGTGTTTGTCATATTATTAACCAGTGAGATCTTATATTACTTTTGGATTACTATTTTTGTTCTCAATAATGATATTTTTTGTATTATTTAATTCAATTTGTTTAATTAGTTATTTAAGCATTTATTTAAAATAGTTTGAATGACAATATTTATATATTATGATAGAAATTCATCCTAAGCAATAAAAATAAAATAAAAAGGGTTGATTTATAAAATCTTGGTACCTTGTATATAACTCACCTTCAAAGGTGTGAACATATAATATAAGGTAATTGAACATTTCATTTCTACAATGCAAATTTTATTTTATAAAATTTTGAACCTTAATGAATATATTTAATTTGCAGAGAAATTGAGAAAGAAAGCATCTAGTGCAAGGCATGAGAACAAGGATATTGACATAATGGTTATGATTGAATTGACAACTATTCATTCGTTAATTAAATTTGAGCATTGTAATTGGTGGTTGTCAGATACTCCCAGTTGTCTTTTTTTCTATTGATTTCTTATAATTATGAGTTTGTTGAATTCAACACTTGTAATGCTTGAAAAAGACAACATTTTAATGATCATATCTCTTTAAAGTTTTACTTTATTTTTTTTATGTTATTCGTATTGTGAGTGTTAATCATTTTGCTCTGTGATAGTTTCTTTTGTTCATTCCTTTCTTTTCTTTATTTTTCTCCATTTAAGTGTTACCATATCTTTTTTCTCTTGTTATTAGCCTTTCTCTTCCTTATGAACTATTCCCTTCCTTCAATCTCTCTTAAGTTTTCTTTATTTCTTATCTCATTCTTTATTTTTTATCTAATGAAAATACCTAATCAATTGATAAAAGTCACTATCAGTGTATCAAATAATATATTTTTTTAAATTCATCCCTAAAAGCCCAAACTTAATGAAACTTAGCCCAAAATGAGACTTTTCCTTCTTTTACTTCATAAGACAAATTTCAAATCTTTCACTTAATAGAAAGGAAACACCCTTAAGCCATTCATTCACTAAAGAAAAAAACTCATTATTGACATCCTCCAATCTTTTTCCTTTATCTCCTTCCTGTCCTCAAGCTTTAGTTGCATATTCTCACCTCACTATCTCATTAACTTTTTTTCCTATAAAGCTGATAATGACTTTGATCAAAATAGGTTTTTCATCTCTTCAATTTTGAATTGTTAAAAATTTTAACCGATTCTGATCCAACATTTGATTTCAAAGTTAGAAAAATAACCTTTGATTTGTAGTGTAGTCTTAAACTTAAGCGAGATTAGTTGTGTGAAGCCTCAAACTTCAATTGCATAAGATTAAAAGTGTTGATTGTATATAGTGCAAAATTTTTGTGGTGTCATTTGTGATCTTCGATTTTAACAACACAATTTTAATGGCTTATTTTACGATAATCTAATTAAGAATTTTCTCACATAATAATATTTTTTTTGGAATCTAAAATTGGAAAAAGAAATTGTGATTGGTTATATCTTGGTAAAAATGAAAGATAGAAAAAAAAAGAAACAAAGTAAAATTATTGAAAAAAATTGACAATTTTCAACTTTTTATGAATGGAAGAGAGAAATAAAAAAAAAAAAAAACCAAAATGAGAACCTAGTGTTATGATTAATTTTTTAAAATTACTACTTGTAGCTTTTGTAAAATTCTATTTTGAAACAAAAAGGCTAAATGACTTTCAATATATAAGAGGTTTATTAAAATTCATCACCAAAAGTCCAAACTTAATTAAATTCAACCTAAAATGAGACTTTTTTTTACTTTTTGTTCATAAGACACCTTTTCCTAACGATGGTGAAACCATTGCCAACGTCTTCCAACCTTCTCCCTTCATATCCTCCGTTTCCTTAAGTTTTGGCTTTGTATTTTCACTTTATTTTCCCATCAACTTCTTTTATAAAAATGATAACAGATTAAATCAGATTGAATCGAAATAAATTTTTATTTTTTTCAACTTTGACATTTAAAAAATTTTAATTAATTTCAATCTAACCTTTAATTTCAAAATTAAAAATCACCATTATCACATTAAAACGAATCAAAATTTATTAGACGTAAATTACTTAACTATCCCTAACCCCTCGAGACTAAACAACAGCGCTAGTTTTGCCATTGCCAGTCAATACATTAGTTTCCCCACCCCCAAAAATGCTAGTACATAAATAAAATGGGTCTAATAGGCCAAACCTTAATGGGCTTTATCCCCTTCCCTTCCATCATTTTCTTTCATTTCATTCACAACCCAATCCTTAAACCCTCTTCCCCGGCATCCCTCCATCAAACAAATTGAGTGGCAAAACCCTAACAAGAAAAAGGATTCATTTTCTCAATTTGATTTGATAAATTTTATTTTGGACAGAAAATATTGAATTTGTTCAATTTATTCTATTCAAATGCTTGAGATATAAGACTCTGCTGCTTACAATGCAAAACCCAAAGCTAAGAGGGCTCCTTTTGGGATTCAATTTCACTAACGCCAGAACCACCACCTTGTTTGATTCACTCCTTTTCCTACTCACAAATTCTTCGTCTTCTACTTCTTCTAATGCAAGGTTTTGTCTCCCTAAAAGACGTCGTTTCTGCGGGTACGCTGCAGAGCAATTCTCAGATGATGAATACGAGTGCGATTTTGAGAGCCACAAGGTATGCTTCCTTCTCGCCACTCCTTTTCGCCCCAATTCTTGAATATGTGTTTGTTTTTCAGTTAATTTATATGGAAATTGAAAAGAAAAGAGCCTGTTTGAATGCTAATTGACGGCAATGATTACAATTGATTGATATTATTAGGCCTCGTCTTCTGTTGCCAACATAGATGAATGGAAATGGAAGCTCAGCATGTTGTTACGCAGTGAAAATGACCAAGAAATTGTTTCTAGAGATAAAAGAGATAGGAGAGACTATGAACAGATTTCCAACCTTGCTAAAAGGATGGGACTTTACAGGTATATACCATCTCTACATGCTTAGAACATTGTATTTGATTTGCAGAAATATATGTTTTAATATTTATATATATACGTCATGAGAATGAATGATTTACTGTCCTGATTATTCCCCCCCTTTTTTTTTTGGTTGCTGTACTAGTGAAATGTATGGGAAAGTGGTTGTTGCAAGCAAGGTTCCACTGCCTAACTATAGGCCAGATTTGGATGATAAACGGCCACAACGGGAGGTAACAAGTTCTGGGAGTGCTTGATAAGTTTTTACGCTCATTGTAGCTTAAGAATAATTCTTTCCAGAATGGAGAATTGAAAATTATGATGGTTTAATTTTGTAGGTTGTTGTACCGTTAGGCTTGCAAAGGAGGGTTGAGGGTTTACTGCAAGAATACCTTGATCGACTGCAGTTAAATTCTGGGAAGGTCAGAAAGAATTCAGATGATGTGAATTCCATTGATCAAGCTGAATATCTGAACCCTGATGAGAATCCAGATTCTTTCTTGGATAACTCTGTTATGGAAAAGGTTCTTCAAAGGAGGAGTTTGCGACTGCGTAATATGCAAAGAGCTTGGCAGGTATTACCTTTCTTTCAATTTCTTCTTTTTCTTCTTTTCCTTTGTGCAACGGCAAGAGTTTGGTAGGTGTGACTGGCTTATTAACTCTTTCTCTAATTTTTTCTTATGTTATCAAATTTGCTTCGTTCTACTTGGCTAGCATTTCTGACTTTCATTTTCTCCCTTTTTGCTTTCTTAAGATATACTTTCATGGTTTTCTGCTTTCTAACTTTTATCTTTACAAAAGCATGTTCAATTTTCCATTCTCTTACTATAGATGTTGTTTTCTTATATGTGAGGTCTTTTCCCCTGTACTTTGTATAAGTTTTCATCTGCATTTGTGATGTTGTATTTATCACTAAAATGGTTGTATTTTAATCAGTACCTGAAATGTCACAAATGTGATCAAGCATTAATAGCATAGTGTTGTTTATCATGATTCTATTGCAAGTAGTTACTTAATAAGTACAATGCTAAAACCTCTCATTTCTACTTATTTTTCCCTAGCAATAGTTCTCAGTCTTTCTCCTTTCCTGTTTTTGCTTTATGAGTGTTTACATTATTAAAATTTCTTAATTTCCAAATTTAATATCATCATTGGGACCTACAGTTAATTGGAAAATTTTTTTTCTTTTATTTTGTCTACCTTATAATCAATTAGTTGCAATCTATTTGTCAAATCTAAATTTTTAAATGGTTAAACTGTTGTTTTTGATGATATGACAAGTGGGTGAAAACATGTTAAATGGGTTGGGTTGTTATATAGGTTGTCTTTGGTCGATCACTAAGGATCAAATGTATGTCAATTTGTGTTGAAATGGAATAGTCCAGATCAAACATGATTTTTGGCATGTTACTTTCAAATTATCTTGGATTTGCCTTGGCCCATTTATTTTAAGTTATGGCTCCATTTGTTTTGTGGAAGTTGACTTCCAGAAAATATTTTCTGGAAAATATTTACATTTTATTGAAAAGTAAATATTTTTTATTATTTGAATGAGTTAATGAAAAATGTTTTTTATTATTTGATTATTTTTTGAAAAATCTATTTTTCTTTCAAATACTATTGACATAACTATTAAAATATTGAAAATTATTTATAATTACAATATATTAAAATTATTTATTATTAAAATTATTAGTATTAAAAATTATATTTAATAATACTATTTAATATTAAAATATTATATTAATACAAAAGCACTTAGAACAAAATTATTTATTATTTATAATAATATTTTAAAATATTTAAAATAGTATTACTATTCTTAAAATATTATTTTTCTTAATATAATAATAAAATTAGTAATATTTATTATTAAAATATTAAAAATATTTATACTATTAAAATAATTATATTTTATATTGAAAGTATTTATTAGTAAATCATAACAAAAATTATTTATTTATATTTATTATTAAAATAATAATATAAATGCATTAATAAATAAAATATAAAATAATATATTTTAAATTGAAAAAAATAAATTATTAAAATATTCATTTTATGAAAATAATAGTATTATTATACTATTTAATATTAATTATTAAAATAATAAAATATTATTAATATATTATTATTATTATTAAAATAATAATATAATATTATTTATTATTGAAATATTAAAAATATTTATGTTTAATAATATAAAAAATATAAATATTTAAAATCAAAATATCAAAAGATTTTTAATGTTAATATTTAAGTTTTCTAATATAAATTAAATAAAAATATTTTTATTGATATAATAATATTTCATATTGGTTTAAATCAAGCTTAAGCCTAAATATAATGTTGAAGGTCTTACTTGAGTAGTACTATATAAATATTTTTAAAATTAAAATATTAGAAGATTTTTAATATTAATATTTTAAATTTTTTATGTAAAATTAAATAAAAATATTTTTATTAATATAATAATATTTTGTATGGGGTCAAATTAAGTTTGAGTTTGAAAAAAATCGTATTCAAGGTCCAACTTGAGTAGAATTGTACTTGTGAGCTTGATAAATAGTCCTACCCATATAGAGCTATTTTTTGGAAAAATTTTTCTCCTTTTCAAAAGAGGAAGATAATTTTCAAAAAAAATGTTTCATTTTCCGTTAACCAATAAGTTATTTTCCATTTACAGTCAATTTTCTGTCAATTAAAAATAAATTTTCGAAAGTCATTTTCCATGAAATAAACGGAGCCTAAATCTGAATTAATTAACTTGGTATTGACTTGGAAGTTTTTTGGGTACCACCTCTAGGTTCAAATTCCTCCTTGTTTGGGTCAATGACATGGCTAGTTGGTTTTGATTGTTTCCCTCTACTATAAGTAGCTGTTTTTTTCCTTCTTTCCTTGTTGTTGGGGATTCCATGCATATTTGTTGTAAAGTTGGAAGCACTTGCATTGCTTTCCGTATCATGCACTTGCTGAAGAATGGGAACAAGTGAAAAAGTGAAAAAGAACCACCTTTTTTTTTTTTTTATCTTTTTATCAGTTGTCCTTCCCATTTTCAGGAATCACCTGAAGGCAAGAAGATGATGGAATTTCGGAAATCTCTGCCTGCATTCAAGGAAAAGGAAAGGCTTCTTCAAGCAATTGCACGTAATCAGGTTTGAGCATGGAACTTTTGTTCTTATTTGGAGCTAAGCATATCCAACCAGAGTACATTGTTGCCAAGAGATGTGCTATTCACTTTTCTGTTTTGAGAAGTTTCTGGCTTTTCATTTCTTTGCATTTGTTTGGTTTGGTCCTCTTTATGCATCTGATTTATTATACTGAGATGGCTTTTTTCTGCTCTGTTAATTATATTATAAGTATTATAGCAGCAAGTCTATCTATACCAATATATTAAAAAGGTGTCCATTTGGTTCCTGCTTGACAGCTGTCAGTGATACTTGCTTTCTTGAGCTGCTTGGGCTTCAGTTTTTTTTTTTTTTTTTGAGTTTGTATTGCTGCTGTTGAGCCGAGAAATAAATTTACGGTTTTTATTTCTTCACAACTCCAAAAGTTGCTCCTACCAAACTTTGCCCTGTTTCATTAAAATGAAAGCAACTGTGCCATATTGCAGGCCATACCCTAGTACATGATTAATATTGTGACTCGTATTAGCAAATAGATATCTTAAGATATGTTTTGGCCCTAGTACATGATTAATATTAATTATGACTTGTATTAGCAAATAGATATGTTAAGGAAATTGAAGCCACTTCGTAAGCTTTAAAAGTAAGAATAATTCCTGTCAAGTAGATGTCTTGCTTGTTACAAAGACTGAGTGGCTGCGTACATGTTGACATATATAAGGTAAAAGTTCAGTCACTCAACCATAATATGATGGTGTTAACTTTATGTAGTGAGATACAGGAGAAGAACATTAGGTCTACATGATGGAATTTTCAGGGAAAAAGCAAGTCAATTAAGTGTAGACTATTAAAAGATGGTAATGGAGTCCATTAGGAGTCTATGAAACAAGAAACAAATTGAATATAGAAGGATATATATCTATTATGAGAATCAAAGGGAGAAGGTTCACCTCATAAGGAGTGCCTGATTTAACAGATTTTGTGGTGTATGTGTTTATTCCTACTTGATGAAGAAAAATTTTGGAATAACTGTTGCGTATTGTAAATTCTTCCTGGTTATTGTGTTTGTCATTTTCCTCTAGTCTTTTATTTTCTTTCTTCAAATCTATTGCGAAACAACAGATAAGGTACCTTTACTTGTGTGTTATTTAGAATGGCAACTAACAATTTTTTAGTTGCTTGTTAGCATGATACATCATAAATCTTTGATGCACTAATCATGAATTTATAACATGTTTTCTGTGTAAATGATTACTCTGTATTCAACTCTGCAGACAATTTACTAAAAAAAAAAACAATACAATTGGAATTTCTTTAGGGGTTATGTGATGCCTGATCTTATTCATGCCTGTGCTCTCTACTATCATTCTAAATTGTTTGATACAATGGTAGGTCATAGTGATATCAGGGGAGACTGGATGTGGCAAGACCACTCAACTTCCACAATACATACTGGAGTCAGAAATAGAAACTGGTCGTGGAGCATTCTGTAGCATAATTTGCACACAGCCTCGAAGAATATCTGCTATGGCAGTTGCAGAAAGAGTGTCTGCTGAAAGAGGAGAGCCTCTCGGGGAAACAGTGAGTCTTGTCCTTCTCAATAAACAAGCGCATGTGGACAAATAATATACAATTCTTTGCTCAAAATAGTTTTAATTTTGAAAACTTCTTTATTCTTGCTTCCATACTCCAACAGATATTTTTTGGTAGGTTGGTTATAAAGTTCGGTTGGAGGGTATGAAAGGGAAAAATACCCATCTGCTTTTTTGTACCAGTGGTATTTTACTTCGCCGGCTGCTAAGCGACCGGAACTTGAATGGTATAACACATGTTTTTGTTGATGAAATTCATGAGCGAGGAATGAATGAAGGTGCCATCCTAATTACCTACGTTTTATGTCTTCTCTCTCTCGAAAAGCTGTCCAGTGTGATTCTTAATAATTGTATGTTTTGGCATTTGTGTATTCCAGATTTCCTACTTATTGTGTTGAAGGATCTTCTTCCACGCCGTCGAGATTTGAGATTAATTTTAATGAGTGCCACCTTGAATGCTGAGCTCTTCTCCAATTATTTTGGTGGGGCACCTAAAATTCACATTCCGGTAAGTTAGAATTTGAGCTTACACTTTGTGTACCGATATGTGGTGTCTCTGATATATTAGTTGTTCAGAGAATATGCAAACTTGGAGTGTCATCTATCTGAATAATATTGTGGAATTGAATTTGTATATGAAAACTGCTTCTATTCCAATTAACAAGATCTTAGGTTTATATTACAACTACTAGGGTTAAACTAGGAACTGAAATCTTCCTTAAATTTAGGGTACAAATACTTAATTCTAGAGATACAAATATTAAATATACAGATTACAGATACAACCAGCTGTAAATAGTGTACAACCAGCTGTAAATAAGTGTTTTCCCACCACTTCCCCCCTCAAGCAGGTGAATAGGCTGTTTCATTTCCCAGCTTGGAAATAAGTTCTTGAAATGTTGCACTGTTGAGACCTTTAATTCAACACATCTTACAAGTTGACCCTTGGTTGATACATAAGGTGTACAAATCAACCCACTGTCTAGTTTCTCCTTTATGAAATGCCGGTCTACTTCAATGTGTTTTGTTCTGTCATGTTGCACAGGATTGTGTGCAATGCTTATTGCAGACTTGTTATCATAGTAGAGTCTCATTGGTCCATCCCACTTGATCTTCAAGTCTTCTAGGATAATCTTTAACCATAGTAGTTCACAAATTCCTTGAGCCATTGCTCTGAACTCTGCTTCAGCACTTGATCTTGCCACCACATTCTGTTTTTTACTCCTCCAAGTCACAAGATTACCACCTAAGAAAGTGCAGTAGCCTGAGGTAGATCTTCTATCAGTTACTGAACCTGCATAATCAGCATCTGTATATGCTTCTAGAACTAACCCCGAATCTCTTTTGAATAAGATACCTCTCCCAGGATTGGCCTTCAAATAGTGCAATATACGGTAGACAGCCTGTAGGTGCACTTCTTTAGGACTATGCATAAATTGACTTACCACACTCACAGCATATGCTATATCAGGTCTAGTATGTGAGAGATAAATGAGTCTTCCAACTAATCTTTGGTACATCTCTCTATTTACAGCAGCATCTTCATTAGATTCTCCAATTTTATGATTAGGATCTATAGGGGTATTTGCAGGTTTACATGCAAGCTTCCCAGTTTCCTTCAGAAGATCCATCACATATTTCTGTTGTGAGATAAAAATACCATGCCGTGAGTGAGCTACTTCAATTCCCAGGAAGTATTTCAATCTCTCAAGCTCTTTTATCTCAAATTCTCTAGCCAAACACTGTTTTAGAGATTCTCTCTCTTTTTCATCATCTCCAGTTACAATTATATCATCAACATACACTAATAGAACTGTGACTCTCCCTGAATCAGAGTGCTTGATAAACAATGTGTGATCTCCTTGACTCTGTTTATATCCCATTGCTAGCATCACTTTGGCAAATCTCCCGAACCAAGCTCTAGGAGACTGTTTAAGGCCATATAAAGCCTTTTTTAGCTTGCATACTTTGTTTGCTTCTAGATGACCTCCAAATCCTGGTGGAACCTTCATATATATTTCTTCTTCCAAATCACCATGTAAAAAAGCATTCTTTACATCAAATTGTTGAAGCTGCCAATTGTAATTTGCAGCCAATGATAACAAAATCCTAACTGTATTCATCTTGGCAACTGGAGCAAAGGTTTCCTGATAATCCACTCCATAGGTCTGAGTGTAACCCTTAGCCACTAACCTGGCTTTATACCTTTCAATAGTACCATCTGCCTTGTATTTTACAATGAAAACCCATTTACACCTCACTGGATTTTTTCCTTTAGGCAATTCTACCAATTCCCATGTCTGATTTTTCTCTAAGGCCTCCATTTCTATTTTCATGGCTTGCCTCCATTTCTCACTGGATAATGCCTCGGATAATGTAGTTGGAATAGAAATAGTGTTTAGGCTCACAAGAAAATTTTTGTGGGATGGTGAGAATTTTTCAAATGACACAAAATTAGATATTGGGTATAGTGGATGCTTGGTACATTCTCTGGTTCCTTTCCTAATGGCAATAGGCAAATCATAATCACTAGTTATAGTTTTAGGAGATTCATGCTCATTTTGAGAAACAGAGTCAAAAACTGTAGTTACCTCATTTCCAGAGTTAGGATCAGGTTCTTAGACTGGCACTGGTTCAGGATCTGGAACTTTCCTTCTTGAGTACACCTGTAATTCCTTCATAGAATCAAGAACAATATTATCCTTTGTCACATCTTCCGTATTTGGAATGGGTTCAGACTCAAATTCAATGTTTGACTTGGGCTCAGCAGAAACAGGTTTCGACTCATAAGAATTAATGGGTGTAAATGTTGAAGAAGGGGGCAAATCAAGCAAAAAGAAGTCTTTATCCTTATCTTCCATGAATGAAGTCTCCCCCTGAAGATAAGGTTGAGTAAAAAATGGTTTATTTTCTTCAAAAGTGACATCTGCAGACACATAAAATTTTTTGGTAGGAGGATGATAGCACTTATATCCTTTTTGAGTTGAAGAATACCCCACAAAAATACACTTAATCGCTCTTGGATCCAACTTTCCCCTATTATGACTGTGAACATGAACAAATGATGTACAACCAAATATCCTAGGTGTGAGATTGTTTGTGGTATTGAGGTTGGGATAAAATTGTGAGAGTAGTTCCATAGGAGTTTTAAATCTCAAAACTCTTGAAGGTAACCTATTTATAATGTGTGTGGCAGTGAGAACAGCTTCCCCCCAATAAGATTTAGGTACATTTGCTTGAAAAAGAAAGGCTCGGGTTGTGGCTAATAAATGGCTGTTTTTTCTCTCTGCCACTCCATTCTGCTGTGGAGTATTAACACAAGATGACTCATGGATAATCCCCTCTTTTTGGAAATAGGTGGATAGACTCTGGTTGAAGTAGTCTCTTGCATTATCAGACCTAAATCTCTTGATTCTTACTCCAAATTGATTTTGGATCATGTTTTGGAAGCTTAAAAACACATTATTCACATCTGATTTGGATTTAAGTAAAAAACCCAAGAGACCCTAGTACAATCATCTATGAATGAAACAAACCATCTCGCACCAGAAATATTAGGAATTGTAGAGGGACCCCAAATGTCACTATGAATCAAGTAAAAGGGAGTATAACTTCTTTTGTTACTGATTGGAAAAGACACATGTCTATGTTTTGCAAATTCGCAAATATCACAATGAAATATTCAACATTTAATTCTTTGAACAAAGAAGGAAACATGTTTCTCAAGGTTCCAAAAGAAGGATGTCCAAGACGAAAATGATAAAGTCAGATTTTGTCTTTATTGGAAGATTTTTCAGAAAGAAATGACAAAGGTAAACTATTTTTTATACTACTTGTGTTATTTGATGTCTCAAGATAGTATAGTCCATCCTTCTCCTTAGCAAGTCCAATCATCTTCCCTGAACTCTGGTCCTGAAATTCACAATAAAAGGGATAAAAGTTACTTTGCAATTCATATCTCTGGTAAGTTTTTGTATAGATATCAGATTAGTAGACAATTCAGGAACATGAAGAACATTTTTGATAACAAACGAGGGATTAACTTGAACATCTCCTAATCCTGCCACTGTGGTAAGTGAACCATGAGCAAAAACAATTTTCTTATTACTAGGACACAGGTTATATGTACTAAACTTTTGTGGGGAATGTGTCATGTGGTCTGTGGCTCCTGAGTCAATGATCCAAGAACTCGTAATAGGCTTAGCCGAGACATTTAATCCATGAGAACCGGAAGCTTTACCTGAACTAGAAACTTTACCCAAAGAACATACCATAGTAGGCTTTTCAAGGATTTTCAATAAGTTTCTCAGCTTTTCAATCTCTTCCCTGTTGAACTCTCCTTGTTTCTGAGACATCTGTAGTACTCCAGTGATTTTTCCAGTTAACATTTCCTCAAATTGGGTGATAGTGATATCTTTCTTTGAAAGGGTTCGGCAATGAAGGCCTAAAAAAGTCGGCAATGAAGGCCTAAAAAAGTCAGCAATGAAGGCTGAAAATTTTTCTTCCCAAGAAGAGCCTAAAGCTCTGATACCATGTGGAAATTGAATGTATATTGAAAAACTGCTTCTTTTCAATTATACAAGAATCTTAGGTTTATATACAACTAACTAGGGGTTAAACTAGGAAACTAAATCTTCCTTAATTCTAGGGATACAAATACTTAATTCTAGAGATACAAATATAAATATACAGATTACAAGATTACAACCAGCTGTAAATAAGTGTTTTCCCACAAATATGTTTTGCTTCATCATCTGTATCCTTTCTATTTCAGTTGGAAATTAAGAGTTTTGGTAGTCACAGTTCTGTTTCATGTGATTTTAAATTGTTATATGTGGATTTTTTAAAATTGTACATCTATTTGATGACAAAATTGTTCTATATTCTCTGAAAGCCCAATGGAGTTTCTATCTTCATACCAAAATCTGCCAAATTTCTTGGGTCTCTCGGTCAGTGAAAAAGCTGTCTCTCCTACACAGACCCAAATACACACATAAATAAAGGAATTCATTGATGGCTTTGAAGGATGAAATTTGTCACTGCTGTTACAAAAGTAACCTTTAAGAGGATTGACATTAAAAACTTAAGAAATTGATAATAAATCTTGGTTTAAACATAAAAATAGTAATAACAAATTTTGATTGCTGCATATAGTTAATCAATTTTTGTCTCCTGAAGGAGTTAATTATTTTTGTTTCCAACCTTCATCTTTTTGCCACTTGCCTCTTTCTTATGGTAACTACATTGATATTTGATAACTAGAAGGATATTATCCCACACCTATGCATGTCGATGAGAAAATGGGTGCATTTGCGTGCGTCTGTGTTATTGCTCTTGTATAAACAGTACTTGTAATTCTGGCTGGCATTTTCCTACTCATTTTCATGTTTTTCTGTTTTATTTTTGCATCTATTTATCTTGAACTAGTCCATGCTTTAGATATATTTTAATTTGGATTGGATGTAATGAGATCTTTTTACCCAAACTCTTTTTTCTTTCAAATCTAATATTATTCACGTATGTTAGGGCTTTACATATCCAGTCAGGGCACATTTTCTGGAAGACGTGCTGGAATTTACTGGATATAAGTTGACTTCTTTCAACCAAATTGATGATTATGGCCAAGAAAAAATGTGGAAAATGCAGAAGCAACTTGCTCCACGGAAAAGGAAAAACCAGATTACTGCTCTTGTAGAGGTATGCTACAATTACTTGGTTATCAGCTAGGGAGGGGCTAAAAAATTTACATCACTGTTTGGTATAGTGCAAATTAACCTGCTGATTGAAAGGTAATGTTTAATTTTAAGCAATCTAAAATTTGTAGGATTGTTGTTTTTTCATATGGGGTTTCTTTCTTCCTCTTTTTTTTTTTTTTTTTTGTCGTTTGAATCTCTTTTGGTGATTAGTGTGGATTGCCATATTGATTTCAATTTCAAAATGGGATGATGTTCTGGAATTTAAAAATCCTTAATGCATAAGAAACTATTTCCCTCGTTTTCTTAGCTTCTGATCCAATCTTGTGCAAATGTAACATTTATATTGCAATTTCTTATTGGGATCTTGTATAATTATTTAAGAACACGTGATGGTTAAGATAGAGGAGGGGGATTTAGACTTTGGAGGTTAAGATAGAGGAAGGGGATTTGGACTTTGGACATCCACTTTGGGTTAGGGTAGTTTGAATTAAGTGGTGCAACTGGATATTACTAATCTGACCCGTAGGGTTTTTTTCCCTTACTTGTTGGTGGTGGGGGGTGGGCAGCATGTTTGAGGTTAATACAGCTTCATCAAAGTTATTTCCTTTAAAGGCAACTAGGTCAGTTTGGTAATGTTTGGCTTTCTCTTTTTCAGATTCAGACTGATGTGCTTAGAAGAAGATATATAAAAGAAAGTTAATTGTGTTTGGTAATATATATAAATAATTGCTTTTGTAAGAAGGCTTCTATATTCTTGACCTTTTCATCTTGAAGTAACTTTTAGAGGAACCAAACAATTACAATAATGTTCTTAATAGCTTGAAAGCAGTTCTGAACCATCAAAATACATTTCTACATAATCTTATGTTGAAATTGTGGTTGATTTTTCATGGAGTGCTCTATTGCTCAAATGGCCGGCCCCCAAACAGATGGAAAGTCTGGATGTATGTGTCCTTAAATTGGAGGTTCTAATCCCACTTGTATTGCATACCGTTGGAATTGTGCTTCTTTGCAAATACAAGTGACTAGCTTGAGGCTAAATAGCTATTGATGCTGAAATGTCCCAAGAAAAGGTTTATTCCATGTCAACCCTCGTAGGAAACTACCTTAGAATAACCAGGACTGGATGATGATCATCAGACTTAAATTATCCATTCCTTGCATTAGGTTTGAACTTTGTCATTCAAACAAAGTTGTGTAGTCTTTTCTTGTAAAATGTAGCCATTTAATAATTTGGTTAAATGACTTGAGCTTTACTTGAATTTGACCTACTCAATGTATTAAGGCTTTTGCAATTATTCATCACAATCGTCAGTAAAGAGTTCTCTGACCAGCGAAGAGCGTTATATCATGTAATGTTCTTTACATCCTTTTTTTTATTCTGATATGGTTTTAAATAACTTACCTTAGCAGTTTGATTTTCTACTTGATCCATTTAATCACCACTATTTTTTTTTTTTGTGGGATTCTGATATGATTGCTTACTTTAAGGCATGGAATTGTTCTTCTTGTTGTTGTTGTTTTTGTTTTTAGTTTTTTATTTTTTTGCCTTTAGTTTTCTTCAGTGCTAATACTTGTGTGTGGTAACATGTTTGAGTGAAACCCTCTAAAGCGAAAATTACAAAAAAAGGTTCAGATTATAATTCTGAATGTATGGTCTTCTTATCTCATAATTCTGCAGGATGCTCTGAACAAACCAAGCTTTGAGAATTATAGTTCAAGGGCACGTGATTCTCTAGCATGTTGGATGCCTGATTGCATAGGATTCAATCTTATTGAGGCAGTTCTATGCCATACATGCCGAAAGGAAAGACCAGGTGCTGTGCTAGTATTTATGACTGGTTGGGAAGATATCAGTTGTTTAAGGGATCAACTTAAAGCTCATCCCCTTTTGGGAGATCCTAACAGGGTTCTGCTTGTAACATGCCATGGTTCCATGGCAACATCTGAACAGGTGGGTTTATTTCTGTTCTGTGAATCACCTGAAGTTTCGGATATAATTTATGCTTAGAAGTTGCAAAAGCAATGAGTCACAATGTCTGAAGAAAAGGTCTAAGATAGAGTCATTTGATTAGGTGATGAAAATTAAGTTTATATAAGGAGCATTTTCTAACATATGAAATAGAGCTAACTATATAGTTTTTAATAGCAAAAGGAATGTTTTGTTTATATTAATTAAAGTATCCACCTTTGGTTAAAATATACACTATAAAATCAAGAAAAAATAGCTATGACTTCTCAATATTCATTTTTTAGAAGGGTCAAGTCTCTTTCATTTGGTAGAAATCATTGATTATTAGGTCTTATGAAAACTGTTTAGCAAAGTGATCTTTGAAAAAGTCATCTTCCATTTTATTTTTAAGGTTCTTTTTTTAACTGGAAAGCTTCCTCAATTGTTTCTCTTGTGATTTCAGAGTATATTCTACTAAAATATTTTTAGAATTGATTTCCGCATCAATGGTCCTATGATATCAAAAATAAAAAGGCATTATACTAAAGAAAATTGCATTCACATTTTCACCTTAAAGAGCTAAGCATTTGTAATAAATCAAGCACTTTATCATTAATTAATGGGTGTTGAGCATTTGATTTTGCAAAGAAAAATACAAAAGGTGATTTTTATAGTATGAAATTGGAAACTAAAGCATAGCTAAGGTGGGCATGGATGAAGAAGCTTAATAAGCTCCGCATTCCTTTACTTAAATCACTATGAAATCTTTAACTTTTAATCAAGGTTTATTGCAGAGCCAAGTGTGCTAGCATTGAGCTGATTTCAATATAGATAAAGCAATGTCATATGTAGCAGCTAAGTAGCTAGCTGGAACCAAACTTGAGTTATATTAAATTCTTTCATTGGTGCTATCAATCACTTTAATCTTTTGATTCCTTTGAGCACAATGTTGAGGGGTTGAGGAATTGCAGTTAATATAGTGTTAGTTTGTGTATATAGTCGCATTCACACACACACACACACACATACACACACACAGAGAGAATCAGCAGCCTTTTGCCACTAGCTCAAACTTGGTAGCTCATTAACTTAAAAAAAACATACTTTCTCGAACTGTTTCAAAGCAAAGCTACCATTAAATGAAGTTTATTAAATTGTTCTTCACACTTAATAAAGCTGAGGAAAACCTCATTGGAAGTTTTTTATGTTCTCATACAATGCCATTCTTTTGACTGTCTTCTTTTATTTTCTGCAGAAATTAATATTTGACAAACCACCTCCTAATGTACGTAAGATTGTTCTTGCTACAAATATGGCAGAGGCAAGCATTACCATAAATGATATAGTTTTTGTGGTAGATTGTGGAAAAGCAAAAGAGACCACTTATGATGCTTTGAATAATACACCCTGTCTGCTACCTTCCTGGATATCTCAAGCATCAGCTCGGCAAGTATGTATCCTTGTAACCTAGACTTATATCATTTGGATTGTCCTTTTATATATAGACTAGACTATGTACATATTTACCTTTATTATACAATTTTGACCTCATCAGTTGCCAGGTCAATTGATATAGAAGTTTTGTGATATGAAGTTTTTCAATATCCTGTTTGCCCATGTCTGTATAGGCATTGTTCAAGAGTTGCTTCTTGTGTTTGCTTGCCTGAGAGTATGATTTGGTTTTTCTAAGACTTATTCAATTGAGACGATTTCAAAGATGAGTGTGTTTTTTAACAACTATTGGGATGTTAAAAAAAAAAAAAAAGGTGAACACTCTGTTGTTAACGCCATTATATCAGACAGTATCTGAATTTCTTTGGGGCTGGGGGGTGTTTATGTTGCCTTCTTTTCTCTTGTCATGGCTGATGTAAGTGGTTTTGGGTGATATTTTGGTTTGCAGAGAAGGGGTAGGGCTGGTCGTGTGCAGCCAGGTGAATGCTACCACCTATATCCCAGATGTGTTTATGAAGCTTTTTCTGAGTATCAACTTCCTGAACTTTTAAGAACTCCCTTGAATTCTCTCTGCTTGCAAATAAAAAGTTTGCAGGTAGAAAGCATTGGAGAATTCTTGTCAGCAGCTTTGCAAGCACCAGAACCATTGGCTGTAAGTATTGTTTTAACCTTTTACTATGTATAGTTTTAAGTATCTGAGTGTCTCCTACATGATTGAAATTTGATTTTTGATTGATTTCTTATCTTTGTTACAAAATTATCCATTCTTATAAGAGAACAAAGTTGCAATTGAAGAAGGAATGAGAGTAATAGTCCAGTGACAAGATTATACCATATGATTCTGTTTACTGCATTTGAGCAGCAACATGGAAATTCAGATAAAATACACTGATACTCTTCTGTAAAATGGTAAAAGAACAAGATTGTATAAATTTGCGGCAAACAGGTGAGAATGGGGGGATGTTTGACTCTAGACAGGGTAAAAGTGGTTAAAGTCCTTTAAAAGAAAGTTAAGAAAGCAATTTCTTACTTGTGCTTGCATGAATACTGTTTTATATTTGTGCATGCAATGTTCATCTATCCTTTTATATGCTCTGGATTGGCAATTTTGTTTTCATTCATGCCTCTCTATTGGTATTCCTGTTTTCATTTTTATGAGCCATCGACAAACAAAATGAATGACAGGTCCAAAATGCTGTTGATTTTCTGAAAATGGTCAGGGCTTTAGATGAGAAGGAAAATCTCACTAATCTTGGTTAGTTTGCTATTACTTTGCTGAGTAGATGTGTTTTGCAACATATACTTTGTATCTATTATTCCTTCATAACAAATTTAATGTCCATCTTTTCTCTTTGGGGAGTTTCAAAATTAATGTTTTCTTTTTTGAACATCTAAACCTAAGACTTCTCTGTATTCTACATTTATTTTTAATGATTTTTTTCAAGCGTTTGGAATAAAAATCATAAAGCATCAATTTTATAAGATATTTCAGAATTAAAAAAAAATAACCATGAGTCTAATTTTTTTCTGAAACTCCATGCAAGTCAAATGTGGATGTTCAATGTGGAATGGAGGCATTACTACTTTTGGTGCTGTTACTTATTTCCTTTTCTTGTTCTTTTTCCCTTTTTTTCCAATCAGGAAAGTTTTTGTCGATGCTTCCTGTAGATCCCAAGCTAGGGAAAATGCTAATCATGGGTGCTATCTTCCGTTGCTTTGATCCTGTATTAACAATAGTATCAGGACTTAGTGTCAGGGATCCTTTTCTTTTGCCTCAAGACAAGAAGGATGTAAGTACATAAACATCAGTTCTTGACGGTATATTGAACTGTGTTCTTTTGCTTATGTAACTTTTAATATTGCTCTATATGTACTGCGAAGTATGACAAAGACCTGAACTGGTATGATACTATCATATGTTTCTATAGAAATTCATATCAAACTTTATAATGGTTTCCATTTTTTCTCTAAATTATGCCCCCCTTCTCTCTCTTTCCCGGCAAATCAAGATTGAGAAAAGAGAAATGAGTCCTTTGAAAACCCTAACTAATTCTGCAGTGATAGTATGCAATGGCCCTGCATCACTAGTTTTTCTTTTTTTTTTTCTTTTGGTTTTCCCTTTTATCTTTTTTGAGTTTCAAAATGGTTTGGCAGGAACCAAATTGCAGATTGAGGGCTGGGGGGGGGGGGAGGGGGGAGGATAGGTGATAAGTTAAGCTAGAAAGGCTACCTGATCTCCATGAATGAAACCCCTGGTTGCTTTGAATGATTTTTGTGTATCTATCCATCATAGTGCTATTTTAAGGCACAAGTTGAAAAGGAGAACTACTAGTTTTATAGTGATAACCACGAATATGATATTTGATGACAGAAAGTTGACTGGGAACAACTAGAGGGATATACGTAAACATCTCATGTCATAAATGCTTCTGGAAATCTAACTAGGAAGTGATTGGCCAGGGAAAAAAAAACTAGGAAGTAGAAACTTTATACAATGGTGACTGCTTTAGGTATAGAGAAAGAAAGCAAATTGTCTATAATCATTTTGTTGCCTTGGGAATGGAAATAACTGTGATATTGGCACATTTTGTAGCTACAAAGCTTTCAAGGTTTATGAATTAAGAATTTTCTTTGAATAATATAATTGGAGTTCCTAAAGTAGATAGCCAACTTTGCTGAACTTGGCTAGTTGGCTCAAATAAATCTTAGCCATTTACACATTCTTTTGCTTCATTTGTATATGTTCAAAGGTCATACCGGTTAAACATCAAAATAGTGGATTGAACTTTAACCCTGAAATTTGATGGGTCTTATAAGCTTAATCTCCTGAGTTGAAATTTGAGCGGTGCACTTGGTATCCCCACTGAACTGTAAATTATTGATGTGTATTCTGTTATTCATAGTAAACCTACACAAATCTCTTGGTTATTGCTATTTGAGGTCCATCTCTTCTGTGGTTTTATTAATGTTAGGGATAATACCCCAATAAGCCCTTGAACTTTACTCAAAAATGGAAATAAGTCTCTAATCTTTTATTGCTTGAAACCTAGGCAATAAACTTTTATTTTATTGTAATTAGATTCTTGACAGTATAAAATATTCATTTTTTTTTTTTGGTTAAAATTCTTTTACTTGGATGGTTTAATTTGTAGAAAATGCTTACTTAAATTTATTTGGATGAATCAGCCAAAAAAAATATTTGGATGAGTTGAATGACAAATATTTAAGATAATGCTATTTTAAAATTGTCAATTGGACATTATTCACCAATTTTTAAGATTTAGTGAGTATAATTATAATGAAATAAAAGTTCCATAGCCTTAATTTCATGCAATAAAAGATTTGAGAGCTTGTTTGCATTTTGGAGTAAAACTCAAAGGCTTATTTGGGTATTAAGCCTTAATGTTATAGTATAGTATCTGGTGCTTCTTTCTTCTAATTGCTTATTTACTTTTTTGTGTAATTTAATTTTCTATTAGATAACAGTTACCAAGCTAATAATTTGACAATGTAGGCTGTTGATATTAATACATCATTGCTTGAACTCTCAATTTGCTTGGCCATTTTAATCTATCAAGTTTCTTTGACTAATGATCCTTTTTATGTTTTAGTTAGCTGGGACAGCAAAGTCTAGATTTTCTGCGAAAGACTACAGTGATCACATGGCTCTTGTCCGTGCCTATGAAGGCTGGAAAGATGCAGAAAGAGAAGGATCAGCATATGAGTATTGTTGGAGAAACTTCCTGTCTGTACAAACTCTTCAGGCTATTCATTCTCTTCGGAAACAATTTAGTTTCATTCTAAGAGAAGCTGGCTTGGTAGATGCTGATGCTGGCTCCAACAATAAATTAAGTCACAACCAGTCTCTGGTTCGTGCTGTCATATGCTCTGGACTCTTTCCTGGAATAGCATCTGTGGTGGTGAGGCATCTTTATTATCTACAATTGCAGCTTCAATATTTCATATTGATTATATGAGATGACATTTACCATTTTCGTGCCTTACGTGCAGCACAGAGAGACATCGATGTCTTTTAAAACAATGGACGACGGCCAGGTTTTATTATACGCTGTAAGTGAAAACACCAAATCAAGAAAAATTAATGAGATAATCTACTGTTGTTCCGAAAGAAGATCAAAATTATACCATTCTCCTAAGCAACCTATCTTTGGCAATAAAAAAAATCAATAATCCATTTGTGCATTTTTTAAGGAAGCTTGGCAAAATTATGATCTTGTCTTGAGATTGCCTTTTTGCTTTACCAGAAGTTGAAGAAGTATATTTTGTCCCTGAATAATAGTTTTGGCAGCATCTTATTTCATCATGGGAGACAACAGTTGCAAATTAAATAGAAAAATGATTCTTTTTTTCAACTTTTTTAACTCCTTTATGCAAGGAAGTTATTGCTTCTGTCCCATATTTCTTATATTTTGCTGTAAATCTTTGTCTTGGACCTTTTTTCTAATTTACTTTTAGTTACAAGCCGGAAAAAGATCTTAAGAAATTTTAATCAACAGGCTTTCATTTTTCTTAAATTATATATAAAGTCCAGAAATATAAGTAACAAGGGTTAAAATTTGAAAAGTTTGACCCCAAAAATAGAAAATATTTATAGAAATTTTGGAAAGTAATAGATTATCTTGCAAATACTTGCCATTGCCTAAATAGGGGTTAGTTTTAGAAATTATTTTGATTAATTTATTTATTTATTTCCTGTTCACCATACATGGATACAATTTTATGGGTCATTTAACACATCTATGGTTAGTGAATAATGCCATATAAAGGAGAATTTAGGGTGGATATATCCCATAACTACAAGCTTGTAATTTTGTATTTAATGTTATTGCCTATTACCAAAAAAGAAAAAGGTGCATTTAGGACTTTAGTTTGCATGACAATCTTCAGAGAACTTTTTTGTTAAAAGAAATGTCTCTCTTTCACATGCACACATATGCATCCTAGTAATTTCTGATCAATCCTCTACTTATCTCTTAGCAGTTCCTGAATTAGGAAACCTTCAAACCATTATAACAGTGTTTTCACATTTATAGAAAACTCACCTGGTAAATAAACAGGCTATCTCTTCCACTGCAAATTTAAGATTTTTTTTTCTCTTGTTGCGAATTTAGATTCCAAATGTCACTGCTATTGTGTGATGCTATTATTTATTTTTGCTTCAGAATTCTGTGAATGCACGTTACCAGACAATTCCTTACCCATGGCTAGTCTTTGGTGAAAAAGTAAAGGTCAATACAGTTTTCATACGTGATTCCACTGGTGTATCTGATTCTATATTGATGCTCTTTGGTGGTGCTCTAAGCTGTGGGGTACAGGTGATTTCATTTGTTGACAAGTACATATTATTTTCAATCCTAAGGAATTGAACTGCTAGGAATTTCTAACTAATCTCTTGGTTATTTCCAGGCTGGGCATTTGAAAATGTTACAAGGATATATTGATTTCTTCATGGATTCTAGCTTGGCAGAGTGCTACTTGAAGCTCAAAGAAGAACTTGATAGACTTATTCAGAAGAAGGTGAGCTAGGATTCCTGAAACTCTTATGAAACTCTGGCAAGATGCGTATGAAACTCTTATGATGCATTCTTTTATGTTATTAGAGATTAGAAAATGTTTTGAATTAGTGCTGTGCTGGATTCTGTTGTCTTATCTATCAAAAGTGTATGGGTGACTTTGAAAGTGCTTTTTCTGCCTTTATCAGGTAATTTATCTGAGTAATCAAGGGTGGGGTAGCAATGGATTCTATCAAAGTGCATCCTTTTTTGCATGATGTAAATGTTTTTATAAAAAAAATTGATGCACTTTTTATACGGTTATGATATCTTTTCACTGCCTTTAGCATGTTTACTTTTTTTTTTGTCCTTTTGTATAGGTCATAGTGTTTATTTTTTATGATCAATAGTTCCATTTATTTAAAAGCAAAATAATTATTAATGGATGCTAGTTCATGGAGAAGTTTTATTTCAAGTGTAAACTTCTTTAGATTCATTGTGCTGTATGTCAACCACCTAGATTTTCCAATACCGGTTCTGAAATAAATAGCCAGAAATCGGATTCTTTCACTTTGGTGTCTTTGCAATATTTATTTTATTAGCATAATATATACTGCTTCAACTTGCATGTCAATCTCTTTAGTGTACTTTGTTTTGCGCTGCTGAATTGTCAATTCTTTATATATCTTTTATTTTAGGAAAGCTATTGATTGTTTGGAAAATATCTGAATAGTTATTTACAACAGAAAAATAGAATTCATTCTATGATAGTTGATTTCCTTTTTCTTTTTCTTTCTACACATAATCGAACCAAATTCAAGGTTTCACCAATTCAGGATTGTAAATAGATGTTTGTTCCAATAGCTGGCTTTTAGGACTGAGCATTTATGAAAATTTTATACTTCAGCTCCATGCTAGGTGTGAAATAAGAGCACCTTACTGGATTTAGGTTTTAGTATTGGCTTTTACTTGATCTGTCCTTCGTTTCAAATGATATGCTGCCTTCCTATATGCAGCTTCAAGATCCTAGCATTGATATTCACAAGGAAGGAAAGTACCTCATGCTTGCAGTTCAAGAGCTAGTGTCAGGAGATCTATGTGAAGGGAGATTTGTTTTCGGCCGTGAATGCAGGAAGCCCAAGGATCCCAATGACAACAGTAGATTCGCAAGGGATGGAACAAATCCAAAGAGCTTGCTACAAACTTTGTTGATGAGGGCAGGGCATTCACCTCCAAAATACAAGACGAAGCATCTTAAGACAAATGAGTTTAGGGCATTAGTGGAATTCAAAGGAATGCAGTTTGTGGGAAAGCCTAGGAAAAACAAGCAGCTTGCTGAAAGGGATGCTGCTATAGAGGCATTGGCATGGTTAACTCATACCTCTGACAACAGTCGTGATGAAGATGATTCCCCTATTGATGTCACTGACAACATGCTAAAACTTCTTGGGAAGCGTCGAAGATCAAAACGCCGATAGGTTTATTTATTTATTTTTGGCATGTGTTTAGGCGGCCTGGGATCTGTGGTTTAAACAAAGAGGAACTCTGGATATCCAGTGTTGATTACAGCTCCAATTGTGTCATCAATTCTTTATCTAAAGCGTTTGAGATTTACAGTGATTAGGGGGCCTTGAAAGAGGAAGGGCAGAGTTTCTGCTTCAGTTGTATGAACTTATTGGTGAAAGAGAATCAAGATCTCTATAAAATTCATGATGTATAAGTAAGGTAAATCTCTTATAAGCTTTGACTGTATTAGAAGCCGATGGTTGCATGTACGTGCATGTAAACTATGTAAAGAATTTAATAAATATGACTTTATTTATTAAATTATGGATGAATGCCTTTTTTGAAGGTGGCTGGGCAAAGTTTTATTCTGATTACTACTTACTGAGAAACGAATATGTTATTTTTAAATGGAATGATTATACGGTCATATGATGCTTTTAATTTCAAATATGAAAGTTTAAATTTTGACAATCTTAAATAAAAAAAAAATGTTGGTTCAAGATAGTTATGCATGCTATAATAACAAGTCTTTGTTAGTTCATTATACAGTTTATATGAGTTTGGAAGGTGAAATTAGTTTTGATGAGATTTGATGAGATTAAAATCAATAGTAATAATGAGATTAATTATTGTAATAATGAGATTGAATATTATAATGATAAAATTAAAATTAGTGATGAAATATACACTTGAACGTAATCATAATAGTAAAAATGAGGTAAAATATAGTAAAATAAAAAATAATCATTAAAGAAATTATATTAAAATTTTTATAAAATAAAAATTTTAAATAATTTTACATTCATAAAATTAATAAATAATTAAAAATTACTAAAAATAGTTTTATTTCAAATAATAATTTTGTTAATAAATTTTAAAATTTAATAAAATTGATAATAATATATAAAAATGATTTTTTAAAAAATTGATAATAATTATTTTTATATTAAAATATTAATTATTTTTATTCAAAATAAATTTAAAAAATAAATAAAATAAAAAATGAAAAGAAATGGAAAAAGCTTTTAAATAAAAAACTCGAAATAAAAAAAGGAAAAGAATAGACTAAATATATTTTCATTGTTACATTAAAATCTTACAAAATAAAAAAAAATACAACAACAAAAACAAGGGCTTATTTAGAAAGATAGGTCCACTGGTGATGAGTTTTTTTTATATGAAGCTTAAAGTATCAGTCAGATTTTAAAGTTGCAGTATTAGGGATAGCAAATCAACCCGATCAGATCATCTAGGGTCAAATTTTAAAAAAAAACGGGTTTCGAGTCGGGTTTGGTCAGTTTTATTTTTTTAAATGACGGATTCAGGTCAAGGTCGGGTTTATATGAAACCTACCCTGATCCGGTATATTTATCAAAATACCCTTGATGTTTATCTTGTATCATGTACTATATTTAAATTTTAGTTATTAACTTTTACTTATCTGATGTTTGAATTTTAGTTTTCTAAGTTTTATATATTTCATAATTTTATTATCTATGATGAGAATTTATGAGTTTTAATTTACTAAGAGGGCATTTGGTTATTTTCTCCTAAAATCTTATTGTTGGGTATTTGATTCTAATGTTTGGTTTAAGGTAATATGATTTCGAGAAAAACTGACAAATTCTCAACAGTACCCAAAGTCTTAGAATCAAAAACTCACATCTTCATGAGATATTTTAGGATTTCGAGGGAGAAAGTAGCATTATTTTCAAATTTGACTAGACTAAAAAATTATGAAATAGTCGTTACCATTTGAAAATCATGTCTGAAAATAAATGTAAGTCAGTTGTAGGTTTCTAATGAAAAAAATTTGGTTTATATATGACATTTGGCATAAAAATGACTTCAATAATCCCTTACAAAAAGTTAATAGTGTTATTCAAGGTGTTTCTATCCAAAAATGCCTTGAATAATTCAAAAAAATTTTTATGAGGGGATTATTGAAGGTATTTTTTGGCAAAAACATTTTGAATAACCTCTATTAAATTTTTTGTAAGGGATTATTCAATGTGTTTTGGCTAAAAACGCTTTCAATAATCTCTTGCCCTTTTTTTGAGATTATTCAAGGTATTTTTTACCAAAAACGCCTTAAATAATCCCTTACAAAAAATTTAATAAAGTTACTCAAAGTTTTTCAGCAAAAAATGTTTTTAATAATCCATTTCAATTTTTATGAAGTAATTATTCAAGGCGTTTTTGCCAAAAACACCTTGAATAATCCCTTCAATTTTTTATTGAAAATTATTCAAGGCATTTTTGCCAAAAAAACACATTGAATAATCTCTTACAAAAAATTTAATGGGGTTATTGAAAGTATTTATGACCAAAAACACATTGAATAATCACCTCATAAAAATTGAAGTGAATTTTTAAAAGCGTTTTTTTGCCAGAAACACCTTGAATAACCTTATTAAATTTTTTGCAAAAAATTATTTAAGATGTTTCTGGCAAAAATCACATTGAATAATACAAGGCGTTTTTGTTTTGACTTTGAATAATCCAAAAAAAATGGCAAGGGATTATTCAAGATATTTTTGTCTAAAAATGCTTTGAATAATCCCTACAAAAAATTTAATGGAGGTTATTCAATGTGTTTTTGCCAAAAAAATGCCTTGAATAATCCCCAATAAAAATTGGAGGGATTATTCTATGCGTTTTTTGGATAAAATGCCTTGAATAATCCTTAAGTTTTATGAGTTTAGGGTTTAAAGTTTATGGTTTAAGAATTATTCAAGGAGTTTTTGGTCAAAAATACCTTTAATAACCCCTTTAAATTTTTTGTAAGAGATTATTCAAAGCATTTTTCCTATGCAAAAATGTCTTGAATAATCCCCTTAAATTTTTATGAATTTAGGGTTTAGTAATTATTCAAGATGTTTTTTGCCACAAACGTCTTCAATAATCCCCTCATAAAAATTGAAGGGGATTATTCAAGGCATTTTTTGCCACAAAATGTATGGAATAATCTCATTTAATTTTTTGTAAGGATTATTCAAGGCATTTTTCTGACAAAAAATACCTTGAATAATCTATTTTAATTAAAAATTGGTTAAATTTGTTAATACTTGTGATATATTTAGACTATGATTTGTTAAGTTTTCAGTAAATTTAAATTAGTAATACATTGAATTCGGGCCGGGTAGGGTTAGATTCGAGAAAATAATATTCTTAAAAGGTCGAGGTTGGGTTTTTCAATTAAAACCTCTGAACGGAGGTGGGTCAAGTATTAAGTAAAATTATTAAAGCTTCAGGTCGAAGGCAGAGAAAGCAAAAATCTAACCTACTCCACCATATTACCAACTTTATGCAACACTGTTGACATTCATTTCTACTGCACCTAGAGGTATAATCAATCGAGTTCGAGTTGATACAGTATTAAGCTCGAGCTTGAGCTCGATTCGAAATTTGAAGCTCGATACTCGGTTCAACTTGATCGAGTTTTATTTTTTTAACTCGAGCTCGATTTGAGATAGAAATCGAGCTATTCGAGCTCGCTCGATTATGCTCAATTAACATATAAAAATAAACTCGATTCTTATATTTGACAAAAGCTCGATTATTTGTGCTCGAGCTCGAGCTCGAGTTTGAGTTTGAGATATTTTATTAATTAAAATAATAAAAATATATTTAAATATAAAAGTTCGATTAGGCTCGCAGGCTACTCGAACCAGGTATAAGAATGCTCGAACTCGACTCGATTGATGAGTCGAGCAACTCGAGCTCGAGCTCGACTTGATAATAATCGAGCCGAATTCGAGTTTTATTTGAATCGAACTCAAATAGCTTGCGAGTACTAATGTATCATTCATACCCCTAACTGCACCATTCATGTAAGCCAAAGGCATATTTTTTGCCTTATACAATACAATTGGCATAAGTTTTCAATGTCATGATAAACATAGCTCCATTTCAATCCAAATGCACCTTAAACTCTGAAGGATCAATGTGACTAAAAAAAAAAGACTCCAAAAGCAAAATTAAAAAGTATGCGTTTATTTATTAATTAATTAATTTTATAATATTTACGAATCTACTTTATTAAAACACATGTCAACCTATTAATCTTATTTTTTGAATTTAAAATTTTCATTGTAAGTGTATGAGATTTTTTTTTTATCTGTACTTAGATTTTGTTTGCAATACAAATTAGAATCTAGAGTCAAATTCAAATAGTGGTGTTAAAAAAATTGTCATATATATATTTATATAGGAGGGATCAAGTTATACAAAAAAAGTTTTACACTTTTTATATACTTTTTTTAATTATTGATTTTAATAGATGAGGATGTGTTTGATATATAAGGTTATAATAGGATAAGATAAAATGATATCATGATTAGCATTAGATTAAATAATATTATACTATTTTGTGTTTAATGTATGTAAAAATTAAACTAGGATAATTTATTTATTGGTTAAAATTATCTTTCCTTAAAATTTATATAATTTAAATTATTGATGTAATTTTTAAGTGTATAATAGAACATATAAGATCAATCCCATTGATTAAAAATAATCTTATCTACTTTAGGAAGATTGAATCATTATGTTCCAATAAGATAATTAATTCTCCTTACAATCCTATCCTTTTCTTTAAATATAAACCAAACATAATAGATGATGATTATCGTCTTATCATATTCATCATCCTATGCACTAAATATGACCTTAAGGTATGAGATTAAACTTTTTTTTTCTTTTTTACTGATCACTCTCATCTTTTAAATTTATTAAAATTAATAGTTTAAAAAAAGGTGTAAAACAAAAAGTTTTACACTAGTATAAGTTAATCTTTCCATATATATATATATATATATATATAAACTTATACATTGTAAACTTTTTTAGTTTTATATATTTTTTTAACTATTGATTTCAATAGATTAAAAGATGAGATTAAACCATTTACTTTTATTTTTACTTTCTCTTACCCTTTGGATCTATTAAAGTTGAATATTAAAAATATGTAAAACATTTTTAATTTTACACTATATAAGTTGATCCCTTTTGTATATGTTTGACATATATTGGCAATCCTTTATCTTATTAATGAAGTTCAATTTTATAAGATTTTTTTTTGCATATATATATATAAACAACTATTATTGGTTATCTCATGCCTTCTATGTAATAAGATGAATACATATTGTTTTATCTATATTTAAATAATAATATATATTGAATATATAATTGTATATTGTAAATATTTATAATTAATAAAATACATATTAACATGTAAAGTTTGTCTCATATACAAAATATATGAAAGTAACATAAATTTTATTACTTTTAATATTAATGCAAAATGAAAATTGTAAAAACAAAGATCTAGAAACTTGCTCAATCAAATTTTGTAGGAACAACCCAACTCTAACACTTATATAGATGAAATCTATCAAGAGTGTTCTTGTAATTAACATGCCCCACTCATAATGAGCCATAGATTTCATTAAAATTTTTCAAAAGTTGGCTTTCTAAACATTATAGGATAAATACATTTA